TAATGAGACCGAATCCTCAATTACACGCAGTGATACTAACTCAAACTTGATTCAAAATTCTTAGTTTTTTCAAGCTTTCAAACATATTTATGTATTGTTTCTTGTAAAAAGCCATCCTTTTTTTGTCAATAATATTGCAAATAATCCAATTTAGGAAAAGGATTTGTTTTGTCTTTTTTATTACTTGCGTGTATATTTTTTGCTTCAAAAATAAAATGCCAGGAAACAAGTAAAGAAGTTAGAAAAGGATAAATTTATTTATTTATTTTTAAATACTAGTTGTACATAAAGTATGAAATTACAGCTGATTGGAAAAAACTTTAAATTTAGAATGATTTTTGATTAACGGCAACTATAGCCAAACATCAGTTTACTTAACTCTACAATAGATGCCTCAATTACACAAAACTCAATTTAAGACATTTTTTCAAATTATTTTGCCACGCGACAAGAAAATTGTTTAACCGATACCCCCGGTACATTCACCGACTTTTATACAATAATATTTCTGAATCAGTATAACATAAATTATAACAGCCAAAAAATATTCATACTAGAAGAGGGAGTTTATTAAAATAAAAATAGAATGCAAAAAATTTGTTGTTTTAATTGTGATACCAAGAATTTAATACAAAAGGCGTGTCTGGTACGAGATATAGAACAAAAATCATGGTAGATATCATCTCGATTAAAATGTTCCACAACAAAACTAAACATGGTTAAATGTTGTTATATTTTGAATGAATATACAAAAACATTAACAGAAACATAGTTTATAAAGTTTGTTAGTTAAAAAACTCCAATTCAATTTTTTAAAAATTTCACATCAATTTATTCCAAAGCTTTATGAAAATAATAGGCCGATACAAAAGAAAATTAAATTTTTTTATTTAAAAAATGGGATCAAACTACAATTGACCATTTATTTAAAAAAAATTGGACATGTTGGACTTGCTTTCAAGATTGTTTCACATTCTTGTATCTTCTCCAAGCATTTGTTGATGAGGGAAGAAGTTTCCTTTAAATTTTATTTAATTCAGATTTTGGGTAATAAGGGGAATTTTTTAAATTTAACTTTAATTATAGAGGTATTTTGAAAATATTTTTTGAAAAATATAATTTATAGATAAATATTTTAAAATTTAATTAACCTTATTTTAATGTTTAACTTTAGCACGATTATCATCAATGTCATTATTATTATTATCATTATCATCATTATCACGATTATTATCATTATCACCCATAGTACGTTCTAAATAATCATCCAACCAGTCGAAAAAATCATCGTTATCGTGAACACTCGTTACATGATTACTTTCTGGGTTTTCGTTTTCATTAGTAAGCATCGAGGAATTAATCAAATTAAATTCTGGATGATCAACTAAATTTGATCCCATTAAATTTCTTTGATATAAATATTTAAGGTGATGAGGATTGATTACTTTATTTATATTATGAGCTATGTTGTTTATCAATTTACGTTTTTTGCTAATAGGGGATGTGTTGTTCTCAACGATTCTCTGAAAAACTTATTCGATTAATTTTTACAAAAATACCTTTCGTTTTTTATCAATTTTTGGTTCTTGATTATTAATATCAACTTCGAGCTCAAGATTTTTTATATAATTTCTCGCCTCACTTTCTTTGATAACATTCAAATCGAATTCATAATTAACTTGATCGACTGCAGCAGATACACATTTTCCTTCATCATATTTTGTACGGAGAAGTTTTAAAATTTTTTCTTGTTTATAGTTTCTAATATGATCTAAAAACGTTAAGATTTCTATAAAAAATAGACACTGTTAAGGGACAAATAAAATTATTAAAATTTAGTATTTCCACATTAATTCATTAAAGTAAAATAAATCTCCATTAGATTTAATGTTAACATTAAATGATTATAACAAAACTGTTTAAACCAACCATTCTCTTCATAATTGATAATTTCGGCTCGATCCCAATCTGTGATAAAATTTTAAAAATTATAAGATGGTATCATCTCTATACCCTGGATACTAATGCCATTGTTCTTATAAAAACACGGTGGCAAAGATTTATGTAGTTCTTTAATTACTGAATTACCTAAAGTTTCTAATGAAAATGCTCTCAAGTTTTGAACAAACTTTTCATCATTTTTATTTGCTTCATTTTCTTGAGAAATTGAATAATAACTGCAATTTTCTTCCAAATTTTGTTCAGCGTATTGTCTAACTTTTTGAGCAGAATTGTTTAGTAATATGCATGAAGGGTTTCTTTCAGAAGTTCTAAAATTCATCTCATATAGATTGATTCCTTTTTCATAAATAGCCGAAGTGCATATTACATCTACAACATCTTTATCAATTAGATTACCATTTACATCCTCCTAAAGTAAAAAAATATTTATCTCTATTTAAACATGTAATAAAGAAAGTTTTCCTGATATTTTTTGAATCGATTTATATCCCAGATATCCTCCTAGTATCCCTGATATCCGACTAAAGTTTAGGGTCGAGTTTTGGGATCGAAGTCGAGGTCTTCAAGATCCCTTCTAGCGTTGCAAGCGAAAATTTTTATATTTTAGTAAGGCATAGCCAAATTTGTTCTAATTTGCAGCGCTGTATACGAAAATTTTGAGAATTTTCGAAGGCGATGATATGAAATGATTCCTATGGTTCCTATGTAATAATATCAAGATGAGTCAAATTTCAAGATGGATTTTTTTATTTTTAATTTACAAAACTTTCCTTGTATAATTTATATTTATTTTCACTCTCAAAACGTATAAACGAACATTGTGTCCATTAATGGAAATTTCCAGATTATATGCACTGCCTCCTAGCATCTCTCCAATAATATCATGTTGGGTAAAATGAAAATTATCATATCCGTCTGTTTTTCCAACAAACAGTTGTCCACCTATCAGTAAATTTCCTGTTAATTTCAAGTCGAAACGTTCCTTTGTTTCATCTGTCAAGTGATGCGGGTATTCAAATTTGTTTCCTTCAACTTCCCTCCATGATATCTTTACAAATATGGACAATGGTTCAACATTTTTATAAAAGGTGTTTAAAACAATTAAATAAAATAACCACATTTTCTGAAATTTATTCTTAATAATAAATAAATTTTTATTAAATGGTGGGGTAAAAATGGTAAAGACTTCATAATAAAGCTTTCATAATCAAGCTTTCATCATCTTTAACCTTTTAAATTCGTTGAAAAAAACCTTTCATCATTATGCATATTTAAAAATTCTTAATTTCTAAATATATTTTTATTTCGTAAGGTTGAGAGAGTGAATGAGAGGTAAAATGAATAAGGGAAATTTAATTATGTCTGTAAGCGCCCAACGTATGAGTTTTCACATACACTTTCTTTTACGCCCGAACTTGCCAGCTTAGACGAACTCGCACAGAATGGCACTTAGAAATACAAAGGTAGATGAAGGTTATAGAAGGATAAAGATAATCAAGAAGAACAAACTAACTGTTAGCTGGCTTTTACGCTAAATCGTTTAAGGGTTAACTCGTTGATCTCGTTGATCTCATTCAAAGACAAATTCGAATAAAATTGTTAAATGCAAGAGTTTCGGGTCACCACCCCGGCCAATAGTCAATCAAATTTAAAAAATTAATCCTAAATTGAGTGACGGGAGCACTTTAAAAATATTGTGTTTATGTATGAAAAGAAAGTCAAGTATCGGATTTAAGCAGTATCGGATTCAATATCAAAATCTGGCAGTATCAGATATTGAAATCCGGCAGTACGGCTTCAATATCACGGTTTTATTTCTTAACCAAAGATGTTTTTGGAATCAGCATGAAATAAATTTATGTAACCACATTTGAAAAATATTTTTAAAAATTACTAAAAAATTTTTAATGAATATCAAATGGAAATAAATTATAATTGTAAAAACGTTAGGGAGGTTGGATAAATTTTACAAAGGATAAATCATTTACAATGAAAATGTGAATTAGGGCTAGACAAACGTTTCATTTTTTCTTTTCAATTAAACCTGTCACCTTTTAAACATTGTTCCAGCCCTAATTAAAGTCTAAAACTTGTAGACATTTTTTTGAATATGTTGATTGAATTTTGGAAACCAAGAAGATAATACTTACTGGAGATAGGATCGAGAAGAGATTTTTAAAAATCTTGGTTACCAGTGGTTCATTTATTCCATTCGTTATACAACAGTAAAAAAAGGTAAAAGTTAGGGGGTTTTTCTGCTACTTTCAGGTGTTTTAGCACTTGCAGGTGTTTTATTAACGCAGGGATCGGGGCGCTTCTTCACCTTTTTTAATAGATCTTAAACCTAAGTCTAGTATCTTAGTGAATGAACCAAACATTAAAAAACCCCAAACATTACAGGTATGTAGGTACAACTATAATCAATCCAAATTTTTATAACTTGGTTACCAAAATTCAGAAACTTTATGAATATAATAGGGTAATACAGAGGGGAATGGGATTTTCGAATTAAAAACTGGTATCTCTCGTATTTACAATCGTCCTCATATTTGTAAGGAATTGGACATGTTGGGCATGTTTCCAATATTGTTTGCCATGCTTGTATCTTCTCTTTGCATTTGTTAATGTGAAGAGAAAATTGAACCTGTTTAGGTTAAGTAAAAACATAGTAAAATTTACTTATAATAGTACCCGGCATTAATTTTTTAATTTAATAAAATCGACTATAAAATTTGAAACTTACTCAAATTTTCAGGTTCATCATTCTTCCAAATAAATTTCAAATCATCCTCTAAAATATCATCAGCTTCCATGCTGTGTATATTTTTATCATTTGTAGTAAGATCGTTGTCAGATATTGAATCGTTTTCAGAAGCTTCATTTGTCATGATATTGTTCCCAAAACTGTTACTACTCGATTGGCTTTCAGCAACAGAATCTTGAGTTTGATAATCTTGACTACTTTCTTTGTTAAATTGTGCTAAATATAAATAATTTTATTCAAAAATTACGATAATAAAGATAAATCAAAAAATTATTCAGTGTTTACCTGAAGCTCGAATGGCATGATTATTTGCGATGCTTACACCCATAGTACGTTCTAAATAATCATCCAATCCATCGAAAAAATCATCGTTATCATGAATATTCGTTACATGATTACTTTCTGAATTTTTGTTTTCATTAGTAATCATTGAGGGATTAATCAAGTTAATTTCTGGATGATTGCTAGATAAATTTGCTTCTTTTAAATTTCCTTGATATAAAGAATCAAGGTTACGAGGATTGGTTACTTTATTTAAATTATGAGCTATCTTGTTGATCCCTTTACTTTTTTTGCTTACATGTGATGTGTTGTTTTCAACGATTCTCTAAACAAATAGTAAAAATTTTATATAAAAATTAATAAAAGAAACCTTTCGCTTTTTGTCAACCTCAATTTTTACTTCCGGACAGTGCGTTTTGACATATCTTTCCGGTTTTTGGCTGTTAATAACATTCAGATCGAATGCATAATTAACATCGTCGACTAAAGCAGCGGCACATTTTTCTTTCTTATACATCTCACATAAATGTTTTTGAATTTTTTCTTTTTTATTATTTCCATTAGCTAAAAACCATGTAATTAAAACTAGTATGTAAAATAGTTAACTAGATCATGGGTCATGTTAACTTATAATTTTTTACATTAATTCTCTTCCAAATTAATCTTTAATAAATTTATATGGCTAATATTAATGATTATAATAAATTTATTTATACCAACCATTCTTTTTAGAATAAACAATTCCGACTTCCTTCCAATCTGTAATTTTAAGAATTATAAAATTGCGTCTCAGAAATTTCCTGGATAACAATGACATAACTTTAGTAAAGCTGCGCTGGGCTTTAACTAGTTATTCTTCATAAGCAAAAGTTTACTCGACTCGATAGCTCGGGCTCGGAACTCAGGATCCTAATCCTCGGCATTACTCGTACTCGGAAACTTCTTACTCGACGGACTCGGTTAAAATTGAGTCTACTTCAAAGCATAACGAATAATAGTTTTTATTATAAAGATAGGGGGTAAAAGCTGGGTTTTTGTTAACGAAATATAAATCTATAGGTAAACTATATTAATCTAGAGGTAAAATAAACTCGAGAATTTTCTGAAAAGATTTTACCGAAATTTTGGCCAAAGATTTTGTCAATTTTATTTTGGACAATTTCTTCAGATGTTAAATTATAAATGCATTTTTCTTTCAAATTTTGTTCCTTCAAATCTTTTCTAACTTCTGTAGAATTGTCTACTAATATGCATGAAGGGTTTCTTTTTTCTGTTCCAAAATTTATCTCATAAAAATTGATTCCCTTCTCATAAATAGCCGAAGTACATAATACAGTTTTAGTTAAATCGCCTTTACCATCCTCCTAAATTAAAAATATTTTTAAATATTTTATTTCACAACTTGATGTTTTTAAATCATTAGGTTCTGGCTTTAAACTTTTAAATAAAATATTCTCAATTAAGGCAGTATAAATGCACATGTTTTAAATTGTTATTTCAAAAATAATGTAAGACTGGCGAATGTTCCTCCCAGCTTATCAAATAAAAATAAAAGCGATCAGACAATTGGCAGGATGTTTTCAATAGCAATCTTTTGCTATTTTTGGCGTAGGTTTGGCCGCCTTACTAGATAAATGTTAAAAACAACAATTCTTCCTAAATTGCTCAAAAATGCTTTTTTGATACTCTGAAAAGCCTATCTAATTTTTTTTAATTTTTACAAAACATTCCTTGGCTAAAATATATTTGTTTTCCGCACACATTTTTATTCGTTTACATCCAGATTTATACTTTTTTCTAGAACCTCTAGTTTGTTTTTCATTTTTATTTAAATGTTCCAATTCAACTTTATTCTCCTCATTTTTTCCATCTGCACATTTAACAATAACATTATATTCCTCTGAACTTCTTGTTTCCCAAAAAAATTGTACAAATCGAAAAGGATTTTTAAATAAATTTATTATTTTATCAAAATCGTTTTCTTGACTTTTAGTTAATATTTTGTATTTAGCTGTGTATTTATGAAGAATAACATAAACTATTGAATTGTTTTGTACAGTTATAGACTCACCAATTATCTAAAATTTTCTAAGATGAAAGTAATAGCAAACCTCCGAAGCATCTTTTTAATTAATGTACAGGCTTTTCAAATTGTTACGGGCGGTGTTCGGATCTCGGTAACGACCTATCCCTAGATTGGAATTCATCCTAACTCACCGATTCTAGGTTTTTAAAAGGTCACCCATCCTACAACCAACTTAACCATTCGCTCCTTTAATAGATCAAGGTGGCCTTTTATAAAACAATATAGTAATAATAGGGCGAGGCCGCTTAAAGATTGCAAAAATAAGGCGAACTCGGTCAAAAATAGGGCAAAAAATATGGTATTACCTTTGAATACTAACAATAATTAAAATTTCAAATAAATTTTTTTAAGGTCCGCAGGCGAAAATATTGGGAATTTTGGCAGGCCAAGAAGCCAAATTACTTCCTTTTTCGGCGCCGCAGGCAAAAATTTTAGAAATTTTAAAAGGTCTGAAGATCGCTATTGCCGAGCAATGAGGTCAAATATTTAAATCTAAAATTAGTTGGGTTTTAAAAACATTTTCTTTAAACTCTCAAAACGTATAAACGAACATTGTGTCCATTAATGGAAATTTCCAGATTATATGCACTGCCTCCTAGCATCTCTCCAATAATATCATGTTGGGTAAAATGAAAATTATCATATCCGTCAGTTTTTCCAGAAAACTTTTGTCCACCTCTCAGTAAATTTCCTGTTAATTTCAAGTCGAAACGTTCCTTTGTTTCATCTGTCAAGTGATGCGGGTATTCAAAATTGTTTTCCTTAATTTTTTTTAACGCCTACACCCAAAATTATGGAAATTTTCCTACTTTCTGTAAAAAATTGCAAGAAATATAGAAAAATCACAACCCCAGAATTGTAGGATATCGAAGTGTTTAGATATCCTCTTTGACCTCACAAATTAAGGGACTTAGAAAGAATTAAGGAGGACATTAGTGGACTTTGGTAGACTAATAGGATTTAATGAATATTGGAGGATTGAAGAAGGAGACCTAATCCGGCTAAGGCTAATAAGTAGATTTCTTCCTTTTTTGTGCGCCGCAGGCGAAAATTTTGAAAATTATGGAAGGCTGCAGGCAAAAAAATTTCATTTTTTAGAAAACACTTCCCCCATTTATTTGGAAATTCCCATCATTAGGGGTGTATAATTTTGGCGTTTTGGCGCGCCAAAAGATGAAAATCACGCCAAACGCCAGGACGCCAAAATCGGCCAAAAATCACGCCAAAACGCCAAAACGCCACGCCAAAACGTTATGACGCACATCCCTGTAGTTATTCTTCAAAAGCAAAAGGTTATTCGTCGACTCGAAGTGAATCAACATAGTTAAATGTCCGTCTCACTGCCTACATGTCCTCAAAAGGCATTCTTCAAATCATTTTTCTATATTCCACACTCTGCCCCCTTCGTTTAGTCACTTCAGGACTTTTGGGTATTATTTCAAAATCATGATTGGGATACAATAAATACCATGATCTTGGAATATCCTGCAGAGATATTATGCCATGATAAAGAAAAAAAATTGTGCAAAACCGTCGACCTATTGGAAGTGGAATGCAAAAAAATGTTTTTCCAGAATACCTATTGCGGACATGTAGGCCATGAGCTAAACGTTTACCACTCTATTGTGACTACTAATTATATACAACATTAAGAACAAGATCCAAAAATGCTAGGACCAAAATAAAATACTATTTTTGGCATCTTACATCAAAGTAGAGTAAGTCCGAGTCGAGCGAGTTTAATTTTACTCGACTCAATAGCTCAGGCTCGGAACTCGGGATCCTAATCCTCGGCATTACTCGTACTCGGAAATTTCTTACTCGACGGACTCGGTTAAAACCGAGTCTACTTCAAAGCATAACGAATAATAGTTTTTATTATAAAGATACGGGGGTAAAGCAGGGTTTTTGTTAAAGAAATATAAATCTATAGGTAAACTATATTAATCTAGAGGTAAAATAAACTCGAGAATTTTCTGAAAAGATTTTACCGAAATTTTGGCCAAAGATTTTGTCAATTTTATTTTGGACAATTTCTTCAGATGTTAAATTATAACTGCATTTTTCTTCCAACTTTTGTTCCTTCAAATCTTTTCTAACTTCTGTAGAATTGTCTACTAATATGCATGAAGGGTTTCTTTTTTCTGTTCCAAAATTTATCTCATAAAAATTGATTCCCTTCTCATAAATAGCAGAAGTACATAATGCAGTTTCAGTTAAATCGCCTTTACCATCCTCCTAAATTAAAAATATTTTTAAATATTTTATTTCACAACTTGATGTTTTTAAATCATTAGGTTCTGGCTTTAAACTTTTAAATAAAATATTCTCAATTAAGGCAGTATAAATGCACATGTTTTAAATTGTTATTTCAAAAATAATGTAAGACTGGCGAATGTTCCTCCCAGCTTATCAAATAAAAATAAAAGCGATCAGACAATTGGCAGGATGTTTTCAATAGCAATCTTTTGCTATTTTTGGCGTAGGTTTGGCCGCCTTACTAGATAAATGTTAAAAACAACAATTCTTCCTAAATTGCTCAAAAATGCTTTTTTGATACTCTGAAAAGCCTATCTAATTTTTTTTAATTTTTACAAAACATTCCTTGGCTAAAATATATTTGTTTTCCGCACACATTTTTATTCGTTTACATCCAGATTTATACTTTTTTCTAGAACCTCTAGTTTGTTTTTCATTTTTATTTAAATGTTCCAATTCAACTTTATTCTCCTCATTTTTTCCATCTGCACATTTAACAATAACATTATATTCCTCTGAACTTCTTGTTTCCCAAAAAAATTGTACAAATCGAAAAGGATTTTTAAATAAATTTATAATTTTATCAAAATCGTTTTCTTGACTTTTTGTTAATATTTTGTATTTAGCTGTGTATTTATGAAGAATAACATAAACTATTGAATTGTTTTGTACAGTTATAGACTCACCAATTATCTAAAAAATTCTAAGATGAAAGTAATAGCAAACCTCCGAAGCATCTCTTTAATTAATGTACAGGCTTTTCAAATTGTTACGGGCGGTGTTCGGATCTCGGTAACGACCTATCCCTAGATTGGAATTCATCCTAACTCACCGATTCTAGGTTTTTAAAAGGTCACCCATCCTACAACCAACTTAACCATTCGCTCCTTTAATAGATCAAGGTGGCCTTTTATAAAACAATATAGTAATAATAGGGCGAGGCCGCTTAAAGATTGCAAAAATAAGGCGAACTCGGTCAAAAATAGGGCAAAAAATATGGTATTACCTTTGAATACTAACAATAATTAAAATTTCAAATAAATTTTTTTAAGGTCCGCAGGCGAAAATATTGGGAATTTTGGCAGGCCAAGAAGCCAAATTACTTCCTTTTTCGGCGCCGCAGGCAAAAATTTTAGAAATTTTAAAAGGTCTGAAGATCGCTATTGCCGAGC